GTTTAACAAACACATTTTTGGTGGATCAACACCTCGTTTTAAATGATGCGAATGATGAGAACAAAATAAAAGAAATTAAATAAATAAAAATAAAAATAAAAAGAGTTAGTGAGGTAAATCAAAACAATAATAAAAATGAGAAATGCTACCCCACATGATATCTACCCCACATGCTTATTATTCCTACCTAGACATGATCTCTATCCCGCATGCTAATTTCAAACAAAACCTAAACACATGTTTGTCTAGTTCGCATGCTTTGAACAGAAAATAAAGTAGGAAATAAAATAGCCTAGGGTTTGGAATGAGGTTTCGGGGTGGGCTCTAATTCCCTGTACTCTCCCGGTTTAGGTTCTAAAAGGGTACTCGAGTTCTCCTTGCCGGTGCCCCCTTGGGCTTGCCAGACCCTTAGTCCTAAGCCTGTTACAAGCTTATGTGGACTAAGTTAAACTTGAGAGGAAACGTTCTCTTATGTCCATACGGAGAATAAATTCATACGAAGACATAAGGTATATGAATCCCGAAGGTTACTTGCTAGGCCCATACGGTGAATAAATTCACACGAAGGCGTCGCTTTCACCCCCACTTAAATAGGGTTCGGAGCTCGGGTATAGAGCCTTAAATGGAAACTTTTCGAAAATCTGAAATCATTGAAAAAATGTTAGTACAACTATTTACTTGGAAAAATAATCAAAGGTAAATAATTGAAATCGAATAAATAAATTAAAATTTAAATTTATAATTTTCGCATAAAAAGACAACCGAAAATTAATTCTGGCCTGACTCACTTACCGTCCCCAGCAGAGTCGCCAAGCTGTCGGAACCGTCTTTCGGTTGGACCCCGGAATTGGTTTCGACTTGAAATGAACTGGGTTGGAGTCGCCACCGACCACTTTAAAACGAATTTAGGTGGGTCGGACACCATCTTACCTGATCTGCGTTGTACCAGAAACGTGTCGAGTTCGGGAGTCGGTTACGGTCAAGGAAGGATAGACCCTTGAACCGCCCTTTCGGTACCAATTAATTTTGTCGGTTGTCTTTAATTGCGAAAATTAAAATTAAAATTAAAATTTAGAAATCCGATTCGAATTACTTACCTTGATCGATTGAGATTATTACTGAAAAGACAAAAGAATATTAGATAGAAAAAAATAAATAAAAATAAAAAAATTGAAGAAAAGTTAAATAAATAAAAAAAACTTATTTTAAAGGTAATAAAATGGAAACGTACGAAGTAAAAATAGATAATGATAATTAAAAAAAACATGATAATAATAAAATAAAATAAGAATTCAGGGGTCAAATTGCAAAAAATGTAACATATAAATGGGGACCGAATTGAGTCGATTGAAAATCCAGTGGCCAAATTGCATACAATGACTGAAACGAATTGCGCTTCAAACCTTGGGGGACGCGGGAGCGAATTTAAATATCTCTAATTGCAAAATGGTCCCCCGTATATAAAAGGTCCAAGAGACCATTTCTGCTCACTTTCAACGTTTTCTCAAAAATGTTATCTTCTCTCAAACGAGAGAAGGCTCTCAATTCCTCTCCCTTGGCGATTTCCGGTCGCCGCCTCGTGTCTCCTCCGCCGCTCCGGCCACCGCGCCGGCCGCCACTGCCGGCGGCCGATGAAAACCCGAACCTCACCAAAATAAACCTCACGTCCCCGTGAACCCAAAATCAACACTCAAATACCCAAACAACCCCCTTATCGAAGTAGATCTAAAGAAAACCCTTCGGTTTTTTACCTTTTCCGGAGACCTTTCGCCTTTTCGGTGGTTTTCTTCTCGGTTCCGACGCGTAATGCTTTTTGCTTTTTGTGTTATGTTTGCATGTGGGTTTTGGTTGGTTATTCTTGATCTGTTGTCGTTTGGTTTTCTCTCGATCTGTTGTTGGTTGTTTGGGTTTCTGTTGATGTGGTGTTTAGTTCTTGCGTTGATGGCCTTGTTCTCGGGCTGGATCGATGATGCTGGTTTACTGTTCGGTGTAGACACCGTTGGTTCTCTGTTGGGTGATCATTTTGTAACTTTTAATAGTCGAGGGACTCAACAAAGAAACACCATATAGTTAAAGGATTATTTATAACTTTTAATAGTCATGAGACTCAAAAAAATATTATCATATAGTCGATGTATCATTTGTGTACTTTACCCTTATATTTAATGGTAGACTAAAGTATAAGGCAGAAATGATTGAATTGATATTTCACGGTCAACAAAAGGCAGCACATAATGAATTGGATTCTCTATAAAATATTATATTATTTTTGTGAATATATAATATAATATTAATGTATAGTCCATTCTAGGTACAGACATTAATGTCCCATTTGCCTTGCATTTCCCCACCACCCTTGTCCACACGTTCCTTGTATAATGAACAAAATTATTGGGATTTTTTCCTCCTTTTTAAAGTTTTTTTATTATTTTTTGACATTTAAAAATCAGATTTGAAAAAGGGCGAAGATAAAAATTTATTTAATTTTTAAAAAATATTTTCTTGGGTTAACTTCAACCTTAAGAATAATAAGAAACATATAAAAAAAACGAGACATAACATTGAAGTATGGGGGAGGACGTTTGAGAGCGATCATACAATTTATATTTTTTATTAATGAAGTAATTTAGTATTTTATATAGTTTTATGATTTTATACTCTTAAATTTTTAATAATTTTTTTTAATATATATGTATATTAATATAAAATTGTGCATTCATTCCTGTTATAAAATTATTTTTAATATCAACTGTTGAAGTGATAAAACAAATATAATCCACCAAATGATTAAAGATTAAATCGATGTTAAAAATGATTATTATAATCATGAGTTTGAAATACTCAAGATTCTAGATGCCAAGTGATTAAGTCCGTTATTTGGAATGCTACTCATGAATCGAATTATTATAATTATTTATGAATTTGAATATTCTAGGGAGTAATAATAAAATTGACCTTTAACACGGAAATAAATTTCTTACTCCGACTGCGTCAAGCTAGTACGGGTAAAGTCTTATGTTTTTCATCTCCTTAACCCCGCCATAATATTAGTTTGCTCTCTCTATTTTACTATTTAGTCAATTAAATAAGACTAAAATTCTGATGATTTCTCATTGTATTCTTCTCTCAAGAAGTTCTCATTATTTGGTGCCTAAATCATAATCTAGGTCTAGTCTCTCATGATGATGATTAGGTGATGATTTTGTCTCAGATTCTTTAACTAATGTTATTGTTTATAACTGCTTTAGTTAAATAATAAAAGATTCTAGCTACATTATTATTTATTTATTTATTATCCGACAATGTCAAACAATTTTGTTTTCTGGCATGAGTTCAGATATACATTAGGAAACAAATATAATTCGTGCAACATTTATTTATAATATGTTATGATTATAAGGTAATACATGTTCATAATTTTATAACTTCTTACAACGTACACATACGGTGCATATATAACTCCTCGAACACGAAATCTATAAAAAAGATTCTTTTGTCGATAAAATTGCTCAATTAAATAGAAAATAAATAACATTTAATTTTTGCTATATATTGTTTCAGCGGACAGATTTCTTTATATATTTGTAGTAATGTCCTTTAGAGTGGTGGCATGCTCAAATTCCCTTTCATTGTGTTGCTATGCATGTGTGATTGTTGAAACTGTTACTGCTTCTCTTCTTTTCATAAACCAAACCCTAAAAATCCTTAGTAGACAAAACCATAACTGAACTAAAGCAAAAGTAAAAATTAAAGCTACCATTGTCCTGTACCCAATCTTCATGTTCTTGCTTTGTGTCTGCTCTTTCATGTTCAAATTTTTAGAAATATCAGATAATATAATTAATATATATTTACTTTTGTTCTGTTTTAGCACACAAATTTATTTATTCGTTTTAGTACTCAAATCTTATTTTGTTTCAAAACCATACATAACATTTAGTTTATATTTCATTTAGTACATCGCCGCTAAAAAACTTACGGGGATATCAACGTGTCAGCATAATATAATGTCACCCATCATTGATTTTTTTAAATGTCACATCAACAGTTTTGTTAATTTTTTAACGGTAGGGTACAAAATTAAAACCCAAAACTAAACGTATGTATGTTTTGAAAATAAATAAAGTCTAGGTACCAAATTGAAACCTAAAACTAAACTTTCAATGATTAGTATTGTATTGAAGACTAATTTCAGTATGAAAACAATACCCATTGTTAAAGATTTAGCTAACTACTTGATGGACAAAACTCTATAAAGGCATGATGATAAGAACAAAAATATTAAAATATGATTAAATAATCACTTTAACTCTTACTTGAATATTTTAGCTCACAATATTTTATTGTGGGATAAAAAGTATTATTCGTAGATGAAAATTGTTACTTAATAAATTATCTTTTTTTTTATTAAAGTCAATAAATAGAAAATGCTCTAAAATAGGGTCTTTGTCTTAAAATAAAATATTGTGGGTCAAGATACTCTAAAGAAACAAGAATTAAAGTAACTGTTTAGTCAAACGTTAAGAGTTGTTTTACTTTAAAATGAAAAACGTTGAGGGTCAAAATACTCCAAAAAGAAAGAAATCAAAATGATTATTTGATCAAACATTAAGATTAATTTTTAGCATTATACCCTCTATAAACTTATTTTAAAGAATTGGAAAGTTTTTTCAATAATGTTTATTGAGAACATTATCTTTTACATTACAAAACAGTGGTAGATATATGTGTTCTTCAGGGTAAGTATGTTTTTACTTTGAAAATCAATTTTTTTTATGTCAGCTGTTTATCTTATTAATGGTTTACTCTAAAATTTTAATTGTACATTTTTTATACGAAAATTTATATATTAGTACATATATTTCCACTTTAAAAATATTTGAATCACTATTGTTATAAAGGAGATGTAATTTGAGAACGTACTTTGGCATTAACTTCTTTCATGAGTTGAAGGAGTGTAAGGTAAACTGAACCTCTTCTCTTTTTTCTAAAGAAATTTCTAATGATTTGGCATGGTTTCTCCTTGTCTGCCTTGAGAAAATTCATGAAGGTTTGGATTCCATCCTCCATTATCACTCCAAATGTGTCTGCTGAGATTCTTGACCCAAACCCTTCATCCCTTTCATCTTCTTCAAAATCTTACCCCCACATCAATATAAGAGAAAACAATCTCATAATTATCAATATATATTACTCATTTAAGATATTAAATACAGGATAAATTACATATATAGTCATCCACATATTCTCGTGATTTTATTTTAGTCATTTAACTTTTTTTAAAATCATACCTAACATTACATTTTTGTTTTATTTTGGTCACTCATTGTTAGAAAGTAAACAAAACTGCTGACGTGATAATTTTTATATTTTTCAATGATGACATGACATTACTTTATGATGATACGTCAGCATCATTGTTAATTAATTTTTTAATAGTGAGTGACTAAAACGGAACTAAAACATAACGTTAGGTATGCTTTTAAAAACATAAGAGTTGAATGACCAAAACAAAACCGTGAAAATAGGTTGATGGCTGAATACATAGTTTACCCTAAAATATATATAAGAAAAATAGTATGATTTACCCCGATATTCAGGTACCAGAAGCAGCTTGGGGGGCAAGAAGACTCATCCTGGCATAAACCTCGGGTCTCCGCCCTTGCTCCTAAGGCTCGTTCTCGATGTATCTTTGCAAAAGAACCTGGAACTGCTGAGCAACCATGGCGAGGCAGTTGAAATCCTTCCGATCGGCTCGTTTACATTCGAAGTTGTTGTAGTTCCAATTGAGTGCTTCCCAAGTCGAGCAAATTTGAGCAACGTATGCAGATTCCAGTTCATGGTAAGGGTTTTGTCTTATATCTGATGGCTTTTTGTTCATTGTGCCAAACCTGTGGACTATTCTCTCGGATATTGATCTTGGGCAAGCTTGAATGAACCTCAGCGACTCTGGAAAAACAATTTCAAATCCATCAGACAAATATGCATTGTTCATATGTCTAAATATATTGTCGATGAAAACAAGTTTATTTCATCAATCGCTTACTGCTATACGGAAAATGGTGGCCAATGAGAACTACGGTTGACGGATGTTTTTATAGGGGAGATGGTTGAACATGAGGATAAAGATAAAGAAGAAGAATGTCTCTAGGTCTTAGAGGTTCCAAACCTTTCATGTTGAAGAGTATTTATAATGACTCGATAAGTGAAGAGGTCAGAAGACTAAATAGATATTCGCTTGGTAGATCATTTGAACTTGTAGATCTTATGCATTGTAGTTGACTTGTAGACCTCTATTCAAAGACTATGAGCTCTAGTGACTCCGATAAGCGAAGAGGTCTATTTGAAGACCTTGAGTCCTTGACTGATGGAGATCTGATAAATTTCGTAGGTATCTAACGGAAAATTGGAAGTTTCCCAGAAGATCCCAGATATATATATATTACCTGTTTTTTGGAGCTTTTGTGCACTGATTCTGTCGAGGAACACCATCTCCTCATCATATTTTTGAAATACTGTGTAGGATTCCCATTTGGGACAACTTATTGAGGAAGATGAAAATGGATCATTTGTTACTGAATCTCTGCAATTTATTGAGCTTCTCCACTCTGAGGAGCTCTTTGATGTTGAGCCGGTTGTGTAAGAATCTCCATAGATTTTTTCATCATCTTTATCCTCAGCTAGTAGCGTCTTAGACTCCATTCTTGGTTCTATGACAAAAAACTTGTCACTTCTTGAAAAATCTGCTTGCACCCTTTGTTTGATTTCTGGGTCACTGAAATTTTCTGCAGAAACAAACAGAAAGTAAGCATCAGGCCAGCATGTGATAATGTTAATAAAGGTTAAATACATGCACATGCATATTACCATCATCATCTTCATCATTGTCCATGTAACTTTTGTCCATTGGTGAGATTATAGGAGTGGGGCCGTCTTGATTTTCATGATCATGCAAATCAGTATCATCATCAGCAGAAGAATCTGAGCAAGGTGACGACTATTCAGTGGAGCAAGTTACATAATATTCATGATCTTCACTCGTGATAAGCTGATCATCATCATCATCATCATCGTGGGGCTTCACGGATTCCTCGACAATGATGTCGACACCATTTCAAGTCTTTCGAAAGCTATTGTCTTGCAGTAAAACAAGTGAATCACCGCCATGAATTATGTCCGCCACAAGGTGGTCGTTTTCCATGAAGTTCACCTTATAGTTATACCTTTCAACGCCATACTCTTGTTCTTCTTCTTCTTTTTCCTCTGAAAACTTGTAATCGTATCCATTTCGAGTCCTGCAAACGAAACAAGGAACAGACAAACACAATAAATTCAAACAACACAAATTCACGAATGAATTTCTTCAATCAACAATGGGAAATCACAGAGACCTTGGAATGAGTGGGTAGCTTCCAACGAAGAAGAAGACATTGACAAGCAAAATTGACAAGGAGTATAGGAAGAGAAGGAGAAGCAAAGATGAGCTTGAGAGATTGTAAAACAATATAACTAAAGCTTCTTTTTGCATATTTTCTTGGGGGTTTTTTTTTTGGTGCTTTGAAATGAGCTCAAAAGCAAAGTGAAGTCTTCGGTTCAGAAAAGAAAGAGAACGATGTGTTCCTTTCATTGGGTTTCATATACTTGGCTTAAAGTAGTCTTCTTCAAAATGACTGATCTGTCCTACGATATCAACTTTACCTCTCTATCATTTTCCAAACACAATTGCAATTTGGGGGCAAATTAGTCGCCTTACTTACCAATAGGGATGAATATCAGATGATAATTTATAAAATTTTAAGAAAAATAAAAATAAATTATAACAAAAAAGTAAAAAAAGTTTAAAATACATAAAATTTAAAATTTAAAATTTTCAAAATCAAACTCTTGATCGATCTTTTTAGTTCTTCCCTCGTACTGATCCAATCAGAAACAATATATCTAACCGGTTGGATTTTTTATTTGTTTTTACTTTTTAATATAGAGTTTATGCTATTCGAGTATATTCCTATAGATATGTTCGAAATATTTCAACCAATTTCTAGTAAGTTTTTCTCTATGAGATGTTAGTAAGCAAAGTTGCATAATACATATACAAAATCTAAGCTTGAGTCTATGGATTTTCATTTTATTAATATTAATTATTATGTGTCTGAATCGATTTCAGAGTTACTAGTAAAGATTAACTTAAGACGAAACATCAAGAATCCAATATAAATGATAATAAGATGAAGAATCAAGGTTTAATTATTTAAATTATCATTGGTTAAAAGGATGTTTGTTATCCTTAAAAGTCTCATGTTGAGCACCAGAGACTACAAGGGTGTTTAAGCTTTCACTATCAAATAGTGTAAAATCTTTAAAATATATACTACCTTATAATCGTCTTATATTAATAAAAAAAATTATTCAAAATATCATAGCAAACATATTGGTAGAGGTGGCAAACGGGTCATTCGGATCAGATTTGGGTCGAGTAATTTCGGGTCTAGATTATATTCAGTTTAATTTATTCGGGTCGGTTTGGATCTGGTTCGAATTTATTCAGGTGTATGGTAAATTGGGTCGGTTGAGTATAAATTTGGGTCAAGTGATTATCGGATCGATTGATTTTTTGGTCGGGTTAATACTGGACTGGTTGATTTTTGGATCGGATTAATATTGGATCAGTTAGATTTCGCGTCAGGTCAATATCAGATTGCTTGATTTTCGATTTAGGTCAAACTTTGGATCAAATCAATTCGAGTTGAATTGATTATGAGTCTAATCAAGTATATATATGATTATTAATATATTCTTTTTAAAAAAATATGTATTCTTATTTGTTAATCTTATCATTTAGACAATTAGACTTAATTTCAATTCTCAATCGTTTAATATTTTGAATTAAATCATCATTTAAAAATGATAAATTAATAATTTAACATAAATATAATCTTATAATACGTGTTAGAGCTTGTTACCAAAATTTTATATTAATCTTTTACGGAAAGTTTATAATGACAATTATTTGATAAAAAAATAAACTTTATTTTCAATTATAAATTTAATATTTTTATTAAATTTTAAAAAATAATACATAACTTTATGTCTTTAATTGTTAAATTTTAATTGTAACGTAAGTAATTTTTTTTTTATAAATATAATATTATTTCTATTGTTTTAGTTGTTTTCAATTATTTTTATTATAAATCTAATATTTTTATTATAAGTAACATAAGTATACTTTATTTGTTATTGTTTCGATCTAACTTTTATTCCTCTTATTATGAAACATAAGTAAACTTTAGTTGTTTGGATTACTTTCGTTCGGATTAATTTCGGTCCCGGTTATTTTCGAATTGGGTTAAATTCGATTTGGATTGCTTTCGAATTGAGTTATTTTTCGGTTCGGATTGCTTTCAGTTCAGGTTAATTTCGATTTGGATTATTTCCGATTCAGGTTAAATTGGATATGTGTTCATATTGGTTTAGCTAAATTTTGGATTGGGTATGGCTCGGGTCGGGTATGGCTTGGGCTTCGAATCAAATTTAAGCATCATGTTCGGGTTAATATCGGGTATTGAATCGAGTAAATCGGTTCGGATCAAGTTTACCAGATCTACATATTAGGTCGATTGGTCAAGTTGTTGTTTATCTTTATTCTTTCATATTTTCTTAGGTCATGAGTTCTATATTTATTATGAGACTCTTTTTCTTTTTCCTAAAGTCTCTCCTTCTATTCCCCTCTAATCTCCTCCATACAGAATTAAGATTAGATTTAGTATTTTAAAAAACTCAAACCACACAAATTCCTAAAAATGGTTTAAATAATAATAAAATTATATTTTAAAACCAATCCCATAAACCTAAATAACAACAAAAATATAATGAAAAGAAGACCAAAACCTGACTACACTAGGGTAGTTATGTTGTATGATATCCTAATATATGATCAAGGAAATGCATTATCGAAAATTTTAATATTTCCGGTAAAGCGCTAATTGAAATATATATTTTTTACCGGAAATGTTAATTTTGCTAACTAATTTCCAGTAGAAAAAAATAACATTTTAGGTATAGTCTAATATTAATATTTTTAGTAGAAAAAAATAATATTTTAGGTAGTGCTTTACCGGAAATGTTAAAAAAATATTAACATTTCCGGTAGCACATTTCATATTAGGTTGTTTTTTCATAGACATCCCGACTACACGCATCTGTATATATACACACAAGTATTGTTTTTTTCTTTTTTGCTTTATAAAAGAATTAATATAAATACACAAGTATTGTTTTTCTTTTTTTCTTTTTTGCTTTATAAAAGAATTAATGTAAATACTATAACTTTTATTAGTAATAAAAAAATATAGTACCATGTAACATAATTTAATTGGGTTCATATAATTATTTTTGGAAAAAACATGTGTAACTTTTTGATTTTTTTAGATATTATGAATATATTTGATTTATTTTAGAATTTTATAAATTAAATTAGAGTAAAGTACACAAATGATATAAAATGATCTCTTGATTATACGACACTGTTTTATTGATTTTCTCGAATATTAAAAAATATAAATTGATCTCTTAACTATAAAACATTATTTTTGTTGAATCCCCGACTATTAAAAGTTAAAAAATAATCATCTGACTATTCATAAGTTCCAAACTTGTCCTTTTTTGTTAAAAAATTAATGGTCTTCTGAACTGGACGTTAATATGGTGACAGAGATATGATAAAATCATATTTTAATGATGTCTATCGGCATCGTTGTTGCTTTCAAGCACTGACTCAACGTTATAATGTTACAAGCACTTGTTTGATGGTATAATGTAAACAGAGACTCGGTCAAAAAATACATCTCAAACAGTTATGAGATCATATTTTATCATATCTAAATGAGCATGTAACATCCAGCTTACACGGCTATCAATTTTTTAACGAAAAATGATAAGTTTAGAACATATGAATAGTCGGATGATTATTTTGTAACTTTTAATAGTCGAGACACTTAAAGCAACACATCATGGTCAAAAGATCATTTTTGTATTATACCCATTAAATTACGGCCGATCGACTTATAAATCATTACACTAATTTTATTTTTTCTTTTTGTAAAATTATAGTCGTAAAATTAATTTATAAATGTTTTGTCGTTACACTAAATAGTTGATTGATAAATTCAGATCGAATTTTATAAATATATATATTATAGAATGATACTTTTAATTTAATTTTTTTTATTCATGATATTAAATTTTAATATTTTTATCTTGTTACACTAATAGATAGTTATTGATTTAATATTATTTTAGGAACAATTAGAACTTGAGATATTCGTTGCCTCTGGTCTAAATTATGAAAAAGCCTTTTAAATGTTGATGTGTTGAAGTGTTTTTGAGGGCTTTTTGTCTTGGAAATATGTTTGCTGCATGTCCTTAACTTGGTTCCCAAGGTTTTTTCCCCCAGAAAAATGCTTAGGATTTTTGTCCCCCACTTTTCATTTATTTATTTAATATAAATAATTTAAGATTGTTTAAGACTCAGCTTGTTCATCAAGTTATTGTCTACTTATTGGAAAAGAATTAACCGAATGAATAAAAGACTGGAATCACCTCACTTCTGATTCAATAGTACACCCAAACTTGATCGGGTTCTGCCTAGAATCCGGACCATACTAATTGAGATCAAATCGGGGAGACATGGATGGATAGAAAAAGCAGCGAATGGAGTAGTCGTCTTTTGGAAATTTAAAATTTTCATATATTTAAGTTATTTTTGTATTTTTTATCGATAATCTATTTTCATCTCCTAAAATTATAAACTCATATCTCCTAAAATTATATAAACTCATATTTTAGAAGTTTAATCTCTTAACATAAATTCATATGTGGTCAAACTAGGGATTAAGTCTTCGTTTGGAAGTGCTCTTCCAACGAGTTTTTTTTTATAAATAAAAATACCGGTTTTTTTAATTTCTTGATTTTAGTCAATAATCACTTTTTAAACATGATTTTTTAATTGAAAATGAATTGTTTGGGAATGCTTATATGATTTAAACGGAACTTTAAGCCAAAAACACCTCCAAAAATATTCCTAAATCATTTAAATTCACTTTAATTTCATGTCAAAGATTAAAGGTACAATTGAGAAGAACGGATAAAATTGAGAATGTGTTTGATTTGAGAAATGTTATTTAGAATATATTATCTCGTTTGATTCTATCGTATTAACTAACGGTTATAATATAAGATTATTAATATTAAATATTATTTTGAATATAGGGACAATATCATCATCATCATCATATTTTGTATCATTTCATCGTAGAAGTTTATTATTTTATCAATTTAATACTTTTTAAATTAAACCTATAGTTTTCACTCATATATTTGTTTAATTTATTTGGAATAATTTGTGGGCCAATTTTTCTAAACCTTTTGTTTACTACAAACCCAATCTCTCAAGCCGTCAATTGTACATAGGCTCTTAGTTATTGGATCAGATAGGATTGTGAAAAGCTTGAATTGTGTCCAAAGATTAAATGAGATTTGCATAAAGATTTGCCAATGATAAATGGTCCAGATAAAATTTGGCACCTATACACGTGAATGAAAATCAAATAAAGATCATGTCACATGGTTGTCATGTCATACCATGCCATGCAAAAAAACATAAAGAGATTTTATCAATATAAACTTGATATATTTGTAGGAAAAGTAAAGCTAGCTCTGCTTTTATCAATAAGGTTTTAATGCCAATTTTGTAAAAGTAGTAGGGATTAGTAAGAAGCATGGCTAACTAACACCCTTCTCCACCTCATCCACTTCCTATATACATTGGTTTTTGAGTCTACTATACTTGGATCCTTGAACTTGCCCTTCATTTGCTCATCAACTTCACCTGATACGTAGAGACGAAGTTATGCTTTATCCCGGAGTTATTGTCTTTATTAAAATATATATGTGGATAAATATATATTTAGACCTCCCATTTTTATTTATTTTGATTTTTCTTACTAATTTTCTATTATTAATTACAGTTTGTCTTCCTTCAACTAGTATCTTGACTCCGTCCTTGTTAATATAAATTAGCTGATCCTATTCCCATATTTAATAGGATAAAGAGGAGGTAGGGTAGTAGGCTGTCCCCAATGCCAGGTTGAGAGCAGCTTCCGTGGAAGACCTCCGGCATTATGAATTGCTCACCGTGGGACTCGATCCCACGACCACAAGGTTAAGAGCCTTGTTAGTATGTGACCCTAAATGTAAAAGGCAATGCATGAATTTTTTTCATTTTATGGGACCCTCAGGTTCGTGAACTTTACTTCCCTCATTTTTTTGGGATAGATTTGATAATTCGTATATTCATATCATATTCATATATATTGTTTTAAAAAAATGTTAGGGCTAGTTCATGCATTGCTCCGGGAGACAAGCAAATGATTTAGTCAAAAAGGTGTCAAAGAAGAAAGATTTTGATTGGGAAAGAGTAACAAAAGTGGCTTTAGAAAGGGTTTAATAAGCTCTTAACTATGTTCACATTACCCCCATCCTCTTATAGGCATGGCCCAACTTCCTTTTGTGCACTGCATTTGCCCCCTTTACTCTTTTTATTTCTCACTATACAAAATAAAATAATTTGAAAATCTTTATAGCAAATAATTAGCCCTAAACATAAATCCTTAGGTTTTGTGTCCTTATAAATATTTTGCGAGTTTAGGGTTTTATTTTTTTTCCTTCCACGTGTTATACACAATTATAACCATTTATTTTATTTCTGTTTTGAAAATAACCATTTGGTCCATCTACCCATGGAAAATACACAATTTCTATATGGTATTCTTTTATCAGTCTCACAAATACAAACTTAATATAATTATTTAATACATTAAAGCTAATATGGGTTTTTAGGAATTTTATAGTTTTTCGAAGAAAAATAAACAAATTAAAATGTTGTTAATTGAGTAATCGATGGACTCCTCAACAGATTTAACATTATGTTCTCCAAATGTTTATGCTCAAGTGGGATCATATGTCCATATACATGTCCTACATGTCTTGGGATATGATTTTGAATCTCATCAACAACGAACAATTTTATTTTTATTAGTGAATGTTCTTAAATGTGTCTAAAAATACCATGCCATATATATTACAATGCTTTTCATAATATATATGTATGTTTGTAACTTTAATATTTTTCAAATTAGAATATAAATTGACTGTACTTTGGGTTCTAATCAAAAGGTGAATTGAGAGAGAAAATAGGTATAGGAATGGATGAACAAGTGGAGAAGAAATTCCATCATTAAGAGCTAAAGACATACAACATGCCATGCTTTCATGTTTTATTCGTTGTTTGTTTCTTCTAATATGTCTATGATGTGGAATTTGAAGTCTCAAGGACTAAAATAGTATTTTATCTGTACTCAAAAGAAATATAATTTTGTTTGATAGTATGAAGTGATTATAAGATAGTATTTATTCAAAATTTTCTTAAGCAATTGACAATACATATCCTGTGATTACAAATACAATTGTTCAAATTTAAAACTTTCAAGAAAAAAATATTTTTTTTAATAAAACGGCTAAATATTAATAATAAGTTGGTCTAATGGGCTAAATATTGTTTATAAGTTGGTCTAATGGGCTAAATATTTTTTTTTAATAATAAGTTGATTACAAATACAATTGACAATATTGATTTGATTTTGTTAATCTTGTTTATTTAATAAAACGGCTAAATATTAATAATAAGTTGGTCTAATGGGCAAGGGCAGAACTAGAAATTTATTATAGTGGGGGTTAAAATATTTTTTATTTTTCATAAATGTAATTTCTTTTTAATTGAGGGGGCGTGGTAATTTTTTTTAAATATATAATAATTAATAATTCCAATGTTAGTGAGATGAGATACTAGATTTCTTAAATAATATAAGAGGTTTGAATTGTGACGTTTGTGAATGAAACAAACTAAGTTAGGAGGATTGCCCTTATATGGACATTTGCAAAACTCGATCTAGATTAATCGATCCATATCGAATATTGCAATAGGATGCATGAAATCTTATGTACGTATCACTTTGTTCATTTGTCGGGTTTTCTTAGACAATTAACCATTGATTTTTTCGTGATTAACTAATGTCTAAAATGTAATTGAAGTCTATTCGGAAAGGAACTGATTAAGATTGCTCAACCTAAGAACTTACTTTTGTTAAGTTTAATGCCCCAAAAGCCCAAAAGCTTTTCTATTTTTACTATCGTTTTTATCTTCATTTACTTATACGAGCATTAGAGACTAAAGTTTAAATTTAGGGAAAAGTACACATTTATTGCCCAACTATTACTTTTACTCTGTTTCAGTCACCTAACTAACTTTTTAACACCATACCTAATATTCTGTTTTTGTTTTATTTTGGTCACTCGCTGTTAAAAATTAACAGAATTATTGATGTGATATTCTTTATTTTTTCAATGATGGGGTGACATTATCTTATAATGACATGTCGACATTGTCATTAATTTTTTTAACGATAATGACCAAAATAAAACCAAAAGTAAACGTTAGATATAATTTTAAAAAAAAATAGTTAAATAACAAAAGCGGAATAAAAATGATAGTTAGGTAAAAGAAAAACTAGGCAACTTAAATCAAAATGAAATACATTTGTACAAAACTTCATCTTCGAAGATTTTTTTAATAGTATGGGGTGATGACAAAATAATATTTTTTTAAAATTTTCTTAACCAATTGATAATGCACATGTAAACGTAGTTATTTGAACCCAGAACTTTTAGGAAAAATAACATTCTTTTTTACCAATGAAATCCCCAAAAATTACAAGAAGCTAATTTTGCTCAAAATCATATTTGTAATTAACTAATTCCTTGTAAATATAGTGAATAGAATTCCATTAATGCTTGTGAGGGTAACAATATATTACAAGTGTATAATTTCTCCACATATTATAGTTGGGGTACAATATATTTATGATACATATAAATACTTGTAAAGATGAAAGAAAAAAGTGGTGTAAAATAAAGCACGCCCTTGATCATATGTGTTTGTAAGGCAAATTAAGTCAAAGAGGACCATGTTGATGATGATGATGATGAGTGGAAGCAAGCTACCCCTCCAGCATTTCCTCCTCTCATCAATCTAAATAAATACTATATCTACATAAGGAACAAGATTATATTCATGTTCGTTTGTTTATTTTTAAAGGTAATGTTTAGTTCGTATTCGTTTATTTATTTTTAAAGATATTCACATTTGATTTATTTAACGTTTGCAAACATGTTCGTTTTGTGTTCACTAACATGTTAACATTAGGCAACTAACAATTTGTTTCTACTTTTTTATTTGCAAGTAAAAGAAAAATGGTGAAATTATGCTACTAATCCTTATTTTTTTAGAGTTTACAGTTTAGACTCTAATTCACTTTGTGTTCAATTTAGTCCTTACCTTCACCAATATTTAAAATGTAAAAAAAGAAAAGAAAAAGGAGAATTGAGTAAGCAAGCTTATAAATAAGTCGATAAACGAGTTTGTTCGTGAACATAAACGAACCAAACACATCGTTTTTCTTGTTCGTTTATTAAATAAACATAAAAATTTAGTACATACTCATTTATGTAACTTAATAAACGAACATTATGTGAATGATTTATGAATAGTTCATATAACGCTACGTTCATTTACACCCATATTAATCTATATATATGTATATGTATATATACTTTCCAGCTATACCTGCAATCTTTCCATGGCATCTGAGTCTGAGTTGAAGTCATAGTAAGTGCTTGCCGCTGTTAGCTTCATTGAAAGAAACTGTAACATTTCAAAAACAGTCAAAAACAGTACATACATGCATGCATACATCATACATAGGAAACAGATGAATGGGTAATTATTCTTTCAACTGACCTCAACTTGGTTCTGCAAGGACTGTACATAACTGATTATCTCATCTAACATGACTGCCATGCCCATGGTCTGCAAATAATCAAAACACATTGGAAAATTTCTAAGTGATTTTTGTTTGTTGTTTTGCTACTTTTAATGAATTTATACAATTATTTACCTTGTAGCATCCAGGGACAATATCTTGCAAGCATCTTAGTCTCTCATTGATTTTCCGTCTTCTAACCTGATTGATGGAAACAAAAGAAAACATCATTTTCAATTGATTAGAATGGTTGAATGAATCAAATTTCAATGTTTTTTTTTTGAAAAATGAAGAAATTTCCATTTTTTTCTCGAGAAAATTTACCCTTTCTGCCAAACTATGGCTATCAGTAGCTTCACCTCTTCTGGCCCTGACATGAACAATATCTTTTGGTTTATTTTCTTCCTTTCCGTTGTTTTTTGTTCTTTTCCCTCTCCCAGAATTCTTCATAACAAACAAAACCCAGATTGAAAATGCAGTAAAAAATAAAAATAAACAAAGGAAATATATATACTATACAGAATATGTACATATACTTACATTTCTTCTCTTGGTCCAACTTTCTAAAGGTTGTGGAGATGATGAATTCCCAGAACTACTTGCTGACACATCCGATGATTTTCTCTTGTTGCTTTCATGGAATTCGTTTTTAGCAGCGACAATGGGTACTGACTGAGAAACTGGGAATGCTGCAGTTAAACCCTGATTGGTATCATGGAAAAAACCAGGAGGATTTTCTCTGCAGTTCCCCGGAATTTCAGCGGCTTGGTTGCCGAAGAAGCTTTCATTGGAGAAGGGGAAGAAGGTTTGGAAATTCAAGGCAGATGAATTGTCTATGACACCTTGGTTTAGCACACCACAGAGTGATGACTCCACGGTTGTAGGATCAATATCCAAGAACGAAAATGATTGTTTAAAATTCTGCAACTCTGATGTGAAATCAGCCATATAGAATTTATGAGAGTATTTCTTTTTCTTTTTCTCTTGAAATGGGTGTTTGGATGATGAGAAAATGTGACTTCGTGTATATTTATAGAGTGGGATCAATATACTGCCGTTCGACATGCATGTAAAAAAATCTTCTTTTCTTAAAACTCTTTTTTTCTCTTAAATTATTAATGAGTTTTATTGAAATAATAGTTTTATCATTAAATTTTTAAAAGTTATAAAATAGTTATTAAATATATAAAATTATTATTATTATGGTATAATAATTGTGAAAGTCTAATAAATCTAATATATATTTCGTAGCAGTTCAATAAAATTTAAAGATTATTTTATAATAGTTTGACAAATATAATGACTAATTTATGACTTTTGAAAGTTTAGTGACCTAAACATCATTTAAATATAGTTTAAGGACCTATAGTGTACTTTACACTTTTCTAAAGAATGAAATCGAGTGGACGCGTGGAAGTCTGGCTTCTGTCTTTTACTCTTAGGCTGGGTCCCATGTTTCAGGAGAGATATCCAATAATGAAATAGGCCCATGAATAAGCATTTGGCCCACTTCAATTTTTACATTTATTTATTTTTTTGGATTTTTTCACTAACTTTTTAATAAAAAAATAATAGTAGGTTGAATTTGAATTAGTTTGTTATAATTATTTGTAAAAATATTTTAAAAAATAAATATTAAATTTTTCATATTTTAAAATATAATATTTTTAATAAAAAAATAAAAATCTTAAAGATAAAAATTCAAAATTTTAATTTAATTTATTAATATAATTATTTTTTAAGCTAAATCGAATTTTAATATCTCTAATGTCTTCATGTATAATTATATCAATATTCCTATTACATAAAAAATAACATATAATTTAATGGTACTTTCTTTTTATTTGTATATAAAATAATGTGGTCTTTGGTCCATATAGAGTGATTGTTTTATATTAATTTATTCTTTCTTATAATTATTAAATATTGGGGGGGGGGATTATCATCAGCACCACAACCAATGTTATCATTACTACAATAAGTGAATTTGGACATAAAATGGGTGTATCAAAAGTATTTGCTTTAGTGGTTACAAAGATGTGAATCTTTGATCAACTATACATTGCAACCATCCAACTATTCCTAACCTCTACTTCTTCAATTATTTGAGAAAAAAATCAAATAAATCTCAGTTTGATGATGCACTTATCACTTGGAAATGCCCATCATTTCCTATGTACCATGATAAATATAGATAGCTTGTACAATATATATATATATATATATAGCAATGATATGGTAGCAGTGAGATATGTTCAATCAAATTATATTATTAGTCATTGTATTATGCTTAAGTTGTAGGCTTAGTTTGCGTTTTTAAGTACATGTAATAAGATTAAATTGATCAAACCCACAAATTACGCATAGTAAATGGACTAATGACATAATTAGACCTTTTACATGTTACTATAATAAAATTAAAAGTTTCTACCATCATCGTATAAAAAACAACTTGAAAATGAATATGGATATCCATATTGAAGCAAAAGAAAAAATAAAATAAACAAATTAACTCGATGCATGTGAGATGTGTGTTTGGAAAGTGGGCAAAAGCATTAGAGTTTTGTTTCTACTGAGGGGTGTTTGGTTCAAGGATTGTGAGATTCTCATGGGATGAGAATCCCACATTTCCATGTTTGGTTGGTCGGGAATCTCATTCTCGGTAATGTTTTATTACCAATAGTAGATTTTTTTGGGGTATATTACTGGGAATGTCATTACCTCCCTTCCTTTAGGTATTTATTTTGGACTAAAATGCTCTTAAATTTTTATTTTTTTTTCAAAAATATCCTTATTCTGTCATTGAATAATAAAAATTCTACGAAGGTTAAATTACAAATTTTTCCTTAAATTATTTTAGATTTACAAAAAAAATCTATAATTAAAATTTTATATGAAGTTCAGGGATTAAATTTTTTTTACCCTTTCATTAAACTTTTTTTATATTTTTAATTTTGTAAAAAAAATTATATAAATATTATGAATTTAATTTTTTTTTAAGAAAATATATAAATATTTTACAATTTGTAATATTATACAAATATATAATAAGGACAATTTGATTAAATATACATTCCAATAATCTTTTATTCCTTTAACCAAACACGGTAATCTTACATTCCTGCTAAACCAACCAAACACAAAATACAACATTCTCAGTAATCCTATTCCTTGGTAATCTTTTATTTCCACTGGTAATCTTACATTCCGTGAACCAAACGCACCCTAAGGACATAAATTGATAGGCTTCCTTAACAAACCAAGATATAGTGGTATGAGTTTATAGACTATAGTCTATAAATATAGGTGGTGTTGGAAGATCTCATTTTGTGAAATTGAATCCCTTTGCCCAAATTTGGATATAGTTTGAAATATTGGTAGCTAGTAGGATTTGGTGCCTATTACATAATAGAATTCCCATTACTTTACTAATTTGTATATTGAATTTCAGGCACCATTTCGTCCACAAATTCATCTCCCTCGAAAAGGGTTTGTTTTGACTTAGGGAGAAGATGATTAATTTTAGTCCTAAGTCATTGGGAATCGGAAGTATATAAGTACACGTTTGTTCCGAGATATAGGTACATTAACCGTTAGAATCTTAGCACTATTGCTTAGTAGAAAATAGAAAGAAAAAAGAGGGGTACAAACTGAATATATTATTTTTAATTATATTCTTATTATGCATAATATATATATATATATATATGGGATAGAATTTTTTACACAATGTAAAATTCTTTTAATTTTACACATATTTAAGAGCGTTGGATAAATGAAATAGAGGGTTAAAATTAACAGTACGAATGAGAAGATATTCACTGGGGAAAAAAATAAAGAGTCAACTTTAATCATCTATTTTTACTCATCTATCGTTTATAAATCTTTATAAAATTAAAGAGTTTTATATTGTGTAAATAGATATTAACCATATATATATATATATATACACACATGCGAGAGGTCAGATTCCCTTAAAATCGGATCAGTTGTTCTCCCAATAGAGGCCCATACAAAAAATATAGTCCAAAACTCTGGCCCAACGTTAAACTTACGATGATCACATATCGTAATCACTGCCGCACACGTGTGAACTTAAAGAATCGTGGCCTTCAACGTCACACTATAAAGATACAACATATCTTGTAACCCTAGGGTTTTTCTGTAGCGGCAATAACGTGCATAGACTGCCTCCTTTCAACGCTCCTGT